ATGAAACTAAAAGATACTTGCTCCCTGGAAGAAAAGCTATGACAAACCTAGATAGCGTATTAAAAAGCAGAGACATTATTTTGCTGACAAAGGTCCGTATCAGTAGTCATGTATGGATATGAGAGTTAGACAATAAAGAAGGCTGAGCGCCAAGGAGCTGATGCGTTCAAAAGTGCTGGTGGTGCTGGAGAAGACTCTGGAGAGTCCCTTGGACAGCAAGAAAATCCAACCAGTCAACCCTAAAGGAAATCAACACTGACTATTCATTAGAAGGACTGATGCTGAAGTTGAAACTCCAATACTTTGGCCACCTGATTCGAAGAGTGGACTCATTGGAAAAAACACTAATGCTGGGAAAGAGTTGAGGGCAGGAGTAGGTGGGTGACAGAGGATGAGATGCTTGAATGGCATCATTGACTCGATGGTGATGAATCTGAACAAACTCTGGGAGACAGTAAAGGACAGGGAAGCCTGGTGTGTGGCAGTCCATGGGATCACAAAGAGTTGGACACAACTTAGTGAATAACAGCAATTCCTTCCCTGTTTTCAGAGAACCTTAAATACACCATTACAAGAAGGAAGACAGGGAATGGCCTCAGAGAGATAGTGCCCTAAACATCATAGAGCCAATGCAAGGAAACTTAAATGCTTAACGTTTAATGAAACAGAAAATTTGACTATTGACTGATATGTCAAAACTATTATTTTTAAAAAACTGATGCTTACTTGTCATGTGACATAGACATAGGAGCTACTTTAAATAAGGTACACGGAAAAAGATATCCAGTACAGCAATACCGATAAAAGCAGCAAAAAATAAAAAACAAAAAGAGAGGGCAAGAAAGAGAAAAGAGAAAATGGAAACAAATCATGTCTTCCCCGCCCACCCGCAGCCCTGCTGCCTGGCATGCACAGTCTCAGTTACCCAACCGGGATGGAACCCATCCATGCCCCCTGCAGTGGACGTGTGGAGTCCTGACCACTGGATTGCCAGGGAAGTCTCAATCAGGCCTAGTTTTTAATTTTCTGAATATTCACAGAGCAACTACTCTCAAGGCCCCAAGCTTAACACGGAAGATAAAATGTTAAAAACAAAGACGTGGCTCTGCCCTCACAGAGCTTCCATTCTGAGAAAGACAGAGAGAGAGAGAGAGACACTCAAATGATTGCATTGTACATTTCCTACAATGTGACGGTGGTCTAGTCACTAAATTGGGTCAGACTCTTGGGACCCCACAGACTGTGACCCACCAGGCTCCTCTGTCCATGGAATTCTCCAGGCAAGAATACTGGAGTGGGTTGCCATTTCCTTCTCCAAGGGAACACCCTGAACCAGGGATCGAACAGGATCTCCTGCATTGCAGGCAGATTCTTTACCAATTGAGCCACCGGGAGTTATGACAATAATCTGTCCCAAATAACAACATAAAATAGTGAAATAATATGCAGACATTTTTTTTTTTTTTTATTCCTTCAACTTTTGTTCTGTACTGGATAGAATCCTAGCCTGGGAGAAGACAAAGATAAAGGAAATGAAGTCCTTGATGAGCTCAGAAGCTAATGTGGAAGATGAAATTTATTAATCATAATCCAGATGCAGACATTTTAAGTGGTGTTTGAGTTTATAATAGAAAATGTTATAAGAAAAGTATTTAATAAAAGCAAAAAACAACTTAATAAAGCATATAATCTCATTAAAAAAGTTTAAGTATAGAAGGAAGATTCAATGGCTATAAAAATCATTCTATAAGAATAAGTGATTGAAAATGTCTAAGAGACGTATTTCCAAGCTCTAATTAGTGAAACTAGAAATGGGGCAAGAATCAATGAATATCAGGTATACAACACAAATATCTATACAAGGGTCTGTTTCTGGACTAATACTTTAGAATATGGCTTTTCAAATGTTTCAAAGCAGCATTTAAACCAGTGAGAATAAGAGATAAACCAGGTGTCAACTAGTAGGTTAACTATTTAGAAAAATAAATAAACGTAGTCTGTTACATCACATCATAAATTTCCAGTGCAACGTATGAAAGTATAAATCCCACTGGTAAGGCTAGGGAAAAAAATAAATACATATATTTTATGCAGTAATAATCCAAAGTATTACTAAATGACATTATATTTCCAGAAGACTTCCAAATGCATTGCACTGTAAAAATTTAGAAACATGAAATTTAGGAAACCACTAAGCTGATTTTGGGGTAGGCAGGCATTCTAAACATAAAAGAAAAATTATTTTAGAAAACTGAAAAGGTTTGATAATATATACTGAAAAAAAAACCCATGATATATATCTCACACATAAATCTAATTATCACAAAATAAATATAATTATCACATACATAAATATATCACAAAAAATATATGATATTCTTCATATAGGGTAGGCTGTTACAATCAGTAAGATAGAACCATCCCAGTAAAAAAAGTGTGTGAAGAACATGAACATAACTGATGGAGAAATTTAAAAGATCAATAAATATATTTTTAAGTATTCAGCCACATTAGCAATGATATAAATGCTAGTTTAAGATTAAATCCTGTTTCACTAATGAGGTGAAAAGCAACAATATCCAATATAAGAGACAGTAAAACATACCCTACTGGCTACCTTGTAAATTGGTACATTCAGCTGAGAAGTCAATTCGGTAAGATGTAGCAAAAGCCTCACTTAACTCCTTTGAGCCAGTAAGTGTACTTCTAATTTATATTTATCTAAAATAATAATCAACATTTCACACAAAGACAACTGAAAACTAAGTATTCATACCATGAGACTAGTCAAAGTTAACAGAACTCTGAAATACCATGCAACCATTACAAAAATATAAGTTCTCAGAGCATTTTTAATAACACGAGAAAAGCTCATAAATATAGTAAATAAAGAAAACAGGGCATATATCTGCAGCACTGTAATAATTTTAATTTTACATATGCAAATATGTAGAAATATGGTGAGCAATGGCTCTCAGGTGAAATTAGAGATTTCAATTTAATTTTTAACTTAACTTCCTTATGCTTTTTAAATGACCCAAATTTTCTATAATGAACATGTATTTTTTTTTTTAATTTTCATTGGAGTATAGTTGATTTACGATGTTGTATTCGTTTCCCACGTATAGCAAAGTGAACCAGTTACACATATACACATATCCACTTGTTTTAAGATTCCTTTCTCATAGAAGCCATTATAGAACACTGAACAGAGTCCCCTGTGCTACAGGTTCTGACTGGTTACCTATCTGATGAACATGCATTATTTTCAATAACCAGGAACATGTAACTAAAAAAGAAGATCTAAAGTAAATACACCAAGTTTAACCGCTAGGCAGCTCTTTTCGCCTCTCTTTCAACTTATCTATATTGAGCAAAGGATAACTCTTTTAAAAGGATGAGTGTTGACTGTCAAACACTGCCCAAAGGTGACTGAATAAAGAAAGGAGGGAAGGGGTGGAGGGAGGGTGGGGGAGACAGTAAAGGCCTTACAGATCGGGTGGGGAGCGGCGGGAGAGGTGGGCACCCTGGACCAGCAGCAGGTCCAGCAGGGCCTTGGACCCCACGACAGGCCAGGAGCAAGAACCACCCCAGACCCCAGCGCTCTGCGAACATCGCCCAGCTTCTTCACGCGACACCTGGGCAGGACAGCACAGGCCCAGGGGAGGACGGCCGTGCCTGAAGGTACATCAGTTGGTAGCATCTGACCTTCCAGAAAGAGAAAGGAAAACGGCCAAAGCCATTCCACAAACAAGCACAGACACACAGGCATTCTCCCACCAGCCAGGGCACCTGCCATCAGGGGTCCCCGGCCTCAGCAGATGGAACACAGACCTCGGGGCCTGAGCTGGGTGCCCGAGACTGCCTGAGCCTGGCCTGGGGACCCGCTGAGCCACTCACAGGGATGAGCGTGCCCATCCCCTGCCACATCCAGAGGCAGACACAGAGCCACCTGCTAATTCTGAGCCCGTTCCTGGCCCAGAAGCGGGCAGCTTGGGCTGTCAGAGGTAAGCCTGATGGCAGGCTGGACTTCCATCCCACCCCATCCCCATCTGGACTTCCGTTCCCCAAATCAGGGAGTCAAAGTTCTACAGAAAGGAAGCGCCCGTGTAAGATAGACTGTAAGCACACCGCTGCCCCAGCCAGCACCTCCCTCCAGAAAGCCCTGCATCCCCAGCTCCTTGGCTCTGCCCGTTTGAAACGGAGGGGCAATGATTCCACCGGATGCCAGGGCCTCCGAGGCGATCCGGGCAGGAAGGACAATCAACGCAGACACGTAACCACACAAAAACCAGAGAGGTCATGGACTAGGCCACAGGGCCACGTGTCCTGATAAAGAACATCGGAAAGGGAAACCGCGCTTCACACACCTTCACGCTCTCAAATGTGACGAAATAACACTTCTCGTGTCGCACGTGGACACACTGGGGCTCCGAGGGGAAGTCAGAGCTGGGAAGGGCTGGGATCCGACACCAAGTCCAAGCCCCGGGCCACGTCTCCCAGGACATGGTGAGCACGCTCGTCCCCATCGCTGCCAAGGGCTCCTGCCTCGCACATGTGGGATCCAGCCTCAAGGACGGGCCTTCCCATCACTGACAGGTGCAGTTCCAGAAAGGGCAGCTGACCCCGTACCCCAAAGGTGCTCAATCTGTGTCCAGGAAAGGGCACCAGGTGTGGCCCCAGCAAACAGCAAGTATAACCAGGGCCGCCGTTCACCGAGCATCATCTGCTCACTGCAGGGCCCACACGAGGAGTGTGAAACACAGCTTGGCCTGAGCGAGACACAGCTGACGTGTCCGCTTTTGGGGAAGAAAACACTGAGGCCGGGAAGTCTCACAGCCAGGAAACAGACGCCATCTGACGCCAGAAGCCCCTTCCCAAACCCCATCTCTCCCACCCTGACGAGGAAACAGGCCCACACGAGTCACTCAGGCTGACTCCCCGCGGCTGGGTGGCACCCTCAGCCCCCAGGCCCCACCCGGCCCGGCGCCCAGCACCACCTTGGTTGAGGTAGGTCAAGGTCTCCTCATGCAGCTTCACAGCCGGGGACGTGGCAGCGCACAGCACATACTGCAGGGGCGGCAGGCGGGCCTCGTTCTCGGGGGACAGCTGCGGCTCCTCCTGCTTGAAGATCGGCAGAGCGAGGACGTCGCTGCAACACACAGGAGGCGGGGGTCAGGAGCGGGGCCCCCGGAGCCCACGCGCCAAGGCAGGCCTGAGCGGCCAACCTCGGGCAGCAGCGGGGGCCACACAGCCCAGCCTAGCGCAGCGAGCAGGCTCAGCTCCGGACACTGCGCCGCCAACACTCTAAAATGCTTTCCAACAGAGAAGACCAATCCGGGACGATCCTACTTTCATTCCGTGACCTTTGAGAGATTTATTCAGATGTCGCGTGGTTTCCATCTGCAAGAGTCTGGCTTTTATAACAAGAACTCGAACACAATTTTTTATTTTTTTAAATAAACTCTTCTAGCTATTGGTCACATCTCAGACCAAGACAATCCTGTCCTCTAGGCTCTGTAAACCATGCAAATACAGAAACTGTCTACTTCACTCATAAAAACTGAGACCTACTTCCACACTTCTAAAAAGAAAGGACAGCTGGCCCATAAACCCTATTTTAAGGGTCATGCTAATATCTCTTAAATGCAAAACAAGAACAATCATGGTTTCAATTCAGTTTTCTCATCCAAATGGAAAATACTGAGATGCTCAAAGATTCTTTTCCTCCACCTCTAAACAAAATTTCCCATCAGATCCAAAAAATCAGCTTCACATCAGCCTAGGACTGGAGAACTTTATTTCTAGCTGTGTTTTTTTAAGTGCATCCCCAAGGAAAAACGAAATCTTTGAGAACATGAATGACCTGCAAGCAGGAGGGACTTACTTGGCTAAGCTCTCTGGATTATGAAGAGATTATGGTATGGACACTGGCGCCAAAAAAAAAGGTCCTGTGCCCTTATCTTTACAAGCCTCCACCCTCCGAGTGTCCCGGGTGCTGAATCAGATTCACTGACCCCACTTTACTATGCAAACAGCAGAGTCACTGATACAATCTATTCCTCATACAATACCATAAACAAGCATCTAAAACACAAGCCAGGCACATACCCCAGCATGTCAGACCAATTTTCAGAAGGAAAAGTCCAGCTGTGGCTCATGTGGAGGGCTACCCCTGCCACCACCTATTGCCCTGGGTCCCCTACCTCATGCCTTCCCGTGGCCAGATTGGGGCACAGGCCCAGTCTAAGTGGTTATCCAGGAATGGGGGAGAAGCAGAGAGATCTGATTCCCGGGGGATTGCATAATTTCATGTTTTCCCAGAATAATCCATGGGCTGCTGCTTTAAATTAAAAAAAAAAAAAAGGTGGGGATAGCCAGGGTTGGGGGAACAGCCATCACTCAACAGTAGCTTATTTCAATCCTGGTATCCTTATCTGCTGAGGAATAAGTCACCGGAACATCAAACAGAAGCAGGGAAGAAGGGAGTACAGGCCACCACCCCAGGAAGGTCAGACAACTTGAAGAAATGCTGCACAGTGATGAGATGACCAAAATTAAATGCACAAGCCAAGCAAAAGAACAAGATCTTCTTCACTCTAGGGGGACCAGGGCGTGTTCATGGACCCTCCCCGTGGCATCCATCAAGGTCACCCTCTCCAAGTGTGAAAGCCCTGGCTTCCGAGAAGTAACATAAAAAAGAGAGTGTGTACCAAATGAGTCTTTATCCACGGTCCCCAAATGACCCCAGAAACCCATCTGGCCTTATGGCACCCTTCACCCCAATTCCCAACCACCTCACCAGGATGAATGCAATACCAAACTTTTAAAGTAAGGGCACCCCTAGTTCAAGAGGAGAATTATTCCCTAAAGGGATGACATTTTCGGTGTCCAGGAAGTTTTACATACACTCACTTCTTCACTCAAGGTCACCTTCAAAGTCATTGGTAAGGTACGGCAACAAACTGAATCGCTACAAACTAAAACTGAGGCAAAATTACAACTAAAATGCATCCTGCCGTACAGTAAAAATGTATTCCGTTGTAGCCTTTCGGGTAAGTCAATGGACACAATCTTCTGCCAGAGATTAACATCTGCCCAGTGGGGAACTCCCTGGAGGTACAGTGGTTAAGACTCACCGCTTCCACTGCAGGGGACTCGAGTTCAATACCTGGTCAGTGAACTAAAATTCCATATACCACACAATGCAGGGAAAAAAAAAAAATCTGCCTGATGGGCTTAACACCTCCCAGAGCAGCCTGCCTCTGGTGGATCACCATGGTCTGCAGTGAGACAGAAGTCCTTAATTAAAGCCCTAGGCTTATGCCACCTCCTACCTCTCTTGCCCATGAATAAAACACAGCAGACATGACACTTATACCCAACCACTCCTTTGCCTGCTGGAATTGGTATGTCTTCAGAGAAGACTACTGGACAAATATCTATCAAAGCTAGGATTTCCACATCACCTGTACTGTTAAATCTGAGTTGGAACTTCTGGGGGTCAAAAATAAAATAAAACAGGCAGGACAGCTCTCTCTGTGGGGTGGTCTGGCCAACGGTTCACTTTCTCTGAGCTCACATCAAATGCCCTTTGGGTTAAATTAGGCACATTTCATAAACTGTGACTAGGATGGAAATCAAGACAGGCTAAAGCTGGTTCAGGCGAGTTCAGAAAGTGAAATGACTGCCCATTAGTACCCGGCCAGCTGCACAACAGGGAAAAACAATCTTCCAGGAACTGAAGCTAACGGGGGTGCCACTTCCTTCAAGGGGACGGGAGAGAGAACTTTGCAAAACAGGCAGGACTTACTTTTCCCTCTGAAGAGCACTAGTCAAATCCCTGCAGAAGAAGAAAGATTTCCATCAAGGGCAATCAACGCGCGGGCCTCGGACCCTTACACCAAGACCACCTGGTGGGAGAGGGCACCCGCCCCCCCGAGCCCCCGCCCGCCCCCTGCAGGCCCGCTAGGCGGAGCGCAGGGCCGCGCTCGCCGCCCGCTCGCCCCTCGGGCAGACCAAGGACACTGGAGAGGACGCGAGGCTCGGAGCGGGACCGGGCGGAGAGGGGCAAAGAGCAGGGGACCGGACTTCCCGGGACAGCTCCAGACCGACGGCAGGAAGCCTCCTCTCCGACGCGAGCGGGAGAGGAGAAACGCGGAGGTGGAAAGACCCCGAGGAGATTGCGACCAGAGATGCGCGCTCCGTGCCCGCCCGGGGTCGTCGGGGGAGTAGCCCCGCGAGCACTAGGCTCTGCGAACCCGCCTCCCGCGCGGGCCCGCAACTCGGAGCGTCTGTCCCAGGCTGGAGTCTGGGCGGATCTCCCTCAGTCCCCAAAGGGCACAGAGTAAGCAGGCGGCGGGGGCGCCCGGGATCCCCGGCCCCGCCGCTCCTCTCCCGGCCCGCGGACGTCCGACGGCGCCCCGCCCGCGGACCCCGGCCCGAGCCCCTTACCGCAGGTAGCTGCCGGGATTGTGCTGGTTGTAGTGCTCGGGCTGCGTGTGCCAGAACAGCATGGCTGGGGCTCCGAGCCCGGCCCGACCCAGGCGCGCGGCGGACGGGACGCGGGGCGAGCCGACCTCTAGGTCACCTGCTAGCAGCGCTCTCACAGCGGTGGCCGCCCGCCCTGCGCATTTATGGACGGCCCGGGGGGCGGGGCCCCGTCCGGACCCGCCCGCAGGCCGCGCGGCCGCCTCACCTGGTGACCTGCACCAGCGCGCCCTTCCCGGGAGCGAGCGCGCCTCCAGGGCGGCGACCGCGAGCGTGCAGCGCGGCTGCGGGCGGGGACCTGGCCCGGCACTGCCCGGATCCCGCCCTCGAGGGTGGGGCCCAGGTAACCTTCCCCGCAGCCCTGCTGTCTTCCCGCTCCCAGAGCCTCGCCGTGGGTGGGGTGAGAAGGCTGTGAGCTTGGATGTCCGAGACCCCGACCCCGACGCGCTGTCCCCTTAACTCGCTCTCGCTTTTTCACAGCACTCTGAGAAATCGTGTTTTGTTTTCATCTACACTTGAGTGTTGATCTCTTTCCCAGTGTAGTATAATCTCCAAGAGGACAAGGTTTGGACTCTCTAGCTCACCCTGTTATCCCTATCTCCTGGAAAAGTGCTTGGGACATGGTGCTGCTGGGCTGTGTTTAGTCGCTCAGTCTTGTCCGACTCTGCGACCCCGCGGACTGTAGCCCGCCAGGCTCCTCTGTCCATGGGATTCTCCAGGCAAGAGTACTGGAGTGGGTTGCTATGCTGTCCTCCAGGGGATCTTCCCAACCCAAGGATCGAACCCAGGTCTCCCCCGTTGCAGGGGGATTCTTTATCATCTGAGCCACCAGGGAAGCCCGGGACATACAGAGTGCTCCATAAATATTTGCTGAGTAAATATGAAAAAGAAGTGCCTCAAGTGAGTAATCAGAGAAAGCTTCCTGGAGGAGGTGACATTGAGCTGAAGCCTTCTAAATTTACAGGAAGCGCTTCTGCTAACATCCGGAAGGAAAGTGGTTCCAGGCAGAGGCAGCGGTAGTTGGCAAGGCCCTGAGGCTGACTACCTGGGCATAGTCTGAGGCTGGGTGACCCACAGGAAAACTTAGGAGGTGAGGTGGGAGTGATGGGCAGGGCAGATCGAAGAGGGACTCCCAGGCCCTGGCAAAGAAGGAGCTGGGGTTTTAATCTAATTTGTGTTTTCAGCAGAGGCGTTGCACATCTGATTTGTTTTTTAAAGATCAGTCTGGAAGGAGTGTGGACAGTGGGTCATGGGGGTGCAGCAGTTAGGAGGGAGTGGAGGTAAAAGCACCATGACCTGCATCCAACAAGAGCCACACCCCCACTACCACTGCCTGGCCCAGATGCGCTGCATGTTCTCTCCCTGGGTGTTAACGGAATGAAATGATGTCCCTTGGAAACAGGGACCCAGAACTCCAGCTCCCCCAGCATGGAGGTGACTCAGATCCACCCTCAGTCTGCTCTCCAGCTCCCCTCCCTGCAACCACGGTGTCAGCTGGCGGGCCACCCCTTCTGGGAAGCTCTTAGTGACCACCACCTCCCCACTGCTCTCCTGTCGCTCAGATCCCCCTTCCAGGATGGAAGCACAGCAGACAGTCCTCAGCACTCCACCCCCGCCGCCCCCAAGGACTCTGTTGTAGAGTCGCCCAAGGTAGCTCCCCTGTTGCGGTGACCCCAGTGACCACCCAGACAGAAGTATCACAGCCTGGCCGTCTCCACTGATGGGCTGCTGCAGCCTCAGGATTCCGCGTGGTGCGACTCAGAGCTGTCAGGGGGCTTCCCTCGCATACTGCTACTTCCTTTCCACCCCTTACATAGTTGTTAATTTCAAGGGACCTTTCAAATAAGCATCCTGAACATTAAGCTCTGTCTGAGGGTCCAGGACAAGCCCAGTATTGATATGGGAGACACGCTGAGGTGGTGTAGAAAGAGCTTTTCCCTGGGTTCCTTCACTGGGCAAATACTCCAGAGTACCTGCCACATGCCCCTGGGTGCTAGGTGCAAGCTTAGATACTTTTTGTTTTTTTAACTGGAGTATAGTTTATTTACAGTGTTGTTAGTTTCAGGCACACAGCAAAGTGATTCAGTTATACATGCATCTCTATGTACCTACTCTTTTTTAGATTCCTTTCCCAGATGGGTCATTTCAGACTATTCAGTGGAGTTGCCTGTGCTCCACAGCAGCACGGGTCCTTATTAGTTACCTGTGTTTATATACAGAACTGTGTATATGTCAATCCCAGTCTCCCAGTTTTCCCTGCCCCCTGCTTACCCTCTGGTAACCATAAGATTGTTTCCTATACCTGGGAATCTATTTCTGTTTCGTAAATTCATTTGTACCATTTTTTTAGATTCTACATATAAGCGATCTCACATGACATTTGTCTTTCTCTGTCTGACTTACTTCACTCAGTACGACGATCTTTAGGTCCATCCGTGTTGCGGCAGGTGGCGTGATTTCACAAGCTTGCGTTCTCTCTGGAGAGGCAGTGGGGGAGAGCGGTGGTCGTGAGCAGCAGTCGCAGCGCAGTGTGATCAAGAACACAGAGGGAGGCTGCGCTCCACGGGGTTGCAGAGAATCGGACAGGACTGAGTGGTTAACACACACACACAGGTGGGCCTTGCTCTCCACCAGGGCAGACTGACTCTCCCCGGGGTGGTCCAGAGCTCCTGAAGAGTGGGAGTGAATACCAGGGAGGACTCTGGAGCTCAGGAAAGTCTCCCAGGTAAAGTGATTGTCTGCTGATGGATGGGTCTGGGGAAGTTAGACACATCTGTGAAGTCAGGGCTGGAGGAGAGTCTCCAGCTGAGCACAGAGCCTGTGCAAAAGCCTGGGGAAAGGACACCAAACGTGGGAAGGAGATCACGATGGCTCAGACCTGGCTTTCCCACCTGGCTTTGTCAGGACGTGTGGCCCTGGGTGGGGTAAATAGACCCATGCTGCCTCTCTCGTCAAAATGGTCCTGGGACTTGCTTTGATCACAAAACATAGGTTTTCCAGGGCCAGCTGACCCTAGGAGGCCAGGCAGCTTCTGCCTCCCTTCTTTCAGAGCTCTGGACCACCCAGGGGAGAGTCTATCTTCCCTGTTGGAGACCAAGGCCCACCCGTGTGTTAGTCACCTAGTCCTGTCCGATTCTTTGCAACCCCATGGGCTGTAGCCTGCCAGTCTCCTCTACCCATGGAATTCTCCAGGCAAGAATACTGGAGTGGGTAGCCATTCCCATCTCCAGGGCATCTTCCTGACCCAGGGATCAAATTCGGGTCTCCTGCATTGCAGGCAGAACCTCTGCCATCTGAACCCCCAGGGAAGCCCGCGGGCCCTCCTGAGCCCCAGCCGTGTCAGCCACCAGCAGGGGCTGTCTTGTGGATCTGTGCCAGTGGATCTGATCTAGCAGATGCCACGTGAAACAGAAATGAGCCACCCACTGAACCCTGCCCGGAATTCCTAGAAGAAAACACGTGGCTATAGCTTTAAGCCACGAAGAGGCAGCGTGGTTTGTCTCATACCAGCGGAGAGATGATGTACTGGGCCCTTTGAAGTTCAGCCTTGCCATTGGTGAATAGGAGTAATCAGGCTTAGTTTCAAGACGGTGATGAGACTTAGGATCAGTCAGCATAGCGTCTCAGGAATGACCAGCCCTCTCAGTCCCTTTAGGGGACTGCATACCTTCACCTCCGTTCCTAGAGTTTGACTGTTTTTATTTTTTATTTTTGGCTACACAGTGCAGTTTGCAGGATCTTAGTTTCCCAAGGGATTGAACCCAGGCCCTGGCACCACTGGACTGACAGGGAATTCCCAGATGTTGCTTCTCTTGCGAGTAGGATTGGCAGTGCCTTGAAGACTACATCAGAATCATGCTGTGTGAAGTAGGATGCCCACCCCTGCCTGTGGGTTATCAGTGTCGCAGGGCACAGCTAGGCCCAGCCTGGACCCCAGGGCTCCCAGACTAGTGTGGAGAAGACAGACGTGCAGGCGATGGCCTGTTGGTCTCTCTTTTCATTTTGCAAACATCCACAATTCACTAACGATGGACTATTGACTCTTACTCTGTGCCACGCCCGGCGCCATTCCCTGGAATTTGGGATAAGTAGGCTTATCACCCCATCTCACAGATGAGGAAACTGAGGCTCAGGAAGCTGAATGCCACAGCTGGGTTTCGAGGTCAGAGCTGAGAGCTCTTGCTCTTTGGGTACCATCAGTTCCTGTCCCGAGGCCTTGTGTTTCTTTCGTCACAGGAGGCTAGGCAAACATGCTGTGACCAGAGGTGTGTCTGCTCCCAAGCAGCTGCCCAGGGCCCCATGGAGCTCATGGGCAGGGATGTTCTCCTGGGGTGATCCTCTCCCACGAGCCCTGTTATGCCCGCAGGCTTGGGGACGCAGGGTGCAAATGCAGAGGGGGCAGTGTCCTTCGGGTGGAGGCTGGCCCGCCCCCACTGCTCTGCACACTGCCCGGGCAGGGGAACGGGGTGGGCCCAGAGCTGCCGGGAGTGAGCCCTCCTGCACCGGTCTCTGGCCTGCCGGGTCCGCTTGACAGCACCTTGAACCCTGACTCCCGCTGAGGGGCAGAGCCCCAGGCAGGGAGCAGGGAGGAAGCTCCCATCTGCTGAGCACTGACTTCGCAGGCAATATTTCATGAACACGCTGTCCCCACTACAACCCTTGCAAGGTTCACTGTGATTACTCCAGGAGGGGAAATAGAGACTCCAAACACTGGCATGACCTGCCCAAGTCAAGGTGGCTGAGATCCCAGATTTGAACCCCAGCCTCCTGACTCTGGACCTCTGGACTCAGCCCCCTATTCTGGTTCTGGCCTCAGACGCTGGCTGAAGTCAGGGCACGGGTGGGGCAGCTGTGCCCAGGGTTGTGGCCCAACACACCCAATGTGCGCCCGACAGCTGGGGGAGGCTGGGGTCTCTGAGGCCCTCGGGAGCTGACAGCCTTCGTGGGGAGGCAGCGATCTTCCATGAGTCTGTGCCCCTACAGGCTCTGGACTCACCTAGGCAGGAGCCACATCCTCCTTGGAAAT